TTTTTTTCTGCTACGGACTATAATTAAGAACAGCGTGCATCGTTTTATATGTTCGGGATTTAAAAAGAGGAAATCTTTCAAGCATTCCTCATCGCATATGTTACAAGGAATAATATGACAATTACTATAGGGTATTTTGGGAGAAAGTTTCTCATGGGATTTCATATTTCCTTTCTGGAAAAACTTATTGGGATAATTATTGCATTCCGTAATCTACATTTAGAGCTGTTGTGCCGGCTTTCAGTTACTAATTATGTGAGAGGGTTTCGTTCTGAATAAAGAGCTAAGAAATATTATTTAGACAAAGAAATAATATAAAAAGATTTGCAAAAGATTTTTATAGTATTCTTTCCGTTTCCCAAAAATTTAAAAATACTTTCCAATTATTTAAAAAGAAATGTAATTTATTTGTATCACTTTCCCTTTGCGAGAAACATAAGTATCATGAAAATTCTAAAAACTTGTAATATTAAAAAAAAGCAACGAGAGTAATATGGAATTTAAAAAACACAAATTTCTAAAAATGATTAAAAAAAATTGAACACAATTGAATTGTTAAGCTAGAGGAGCTTATATAAAATACTATCCCTTCTGCTTAATTGAAGTAGACTTCATTTCTGAATATCTTTAATGACATAATCAGTTTTTTAGTTCAAAGTCAGTTTTTCATTATAAGTGCGTTTCACAACCCAAGCAGTAATTTCATCTTGGCCCCAGTTGAGATCAATATGGGTCTTATAAGAACAAGCACAGAGGAGCCAATATTGAGATGCCTTCATTTTTTTAAAATATTGCTCATAGAGCAGTGGTAGCTCAGGGGATAGAACGTCTGCCTTCCAATGAGGTGAACCGGATTCGAATCCCAGCGATGGCCTGTCGAAACGAACTCCACATCCAGCTCGCACCAACCACAGTTCTGACATAAAAATATCCTCAGTGGTAGATGGATCATGAGTTTGGGTCCCCTTGCCATCAGGGTAAACATGGGAAGTTTTCGTTGTTTTCCTCTCTATGTAATGCAAATGCGAGTTGGTTTCGTCTAAACGTCCTCCACGAAGACAAATTTCTCCCTCTACTTGATCCAGGAATTTCCCTGTCTTCTGGATTGGGTTCAAAATGACAAAGCAGCGGAGTTGAACATTGGTGATTGTAGACCCAAGAATTAGGTCGGTTGCTCAACGACGGTTATAAAATAAAGTATGAAATATTTGCTCCTAGAAAGGAATATAATTGGCGAAAGTAGGTCTTTTATTGGCTGAATAATGAATATAAAATATGAAGTTATTCTGACAATTTTATATAGTGCCAGTATTGGTTGTAAAGTTGCTGTGAATTATCGCATGAATTGTGCAATTCAATATAGGGCCAATATCGGAAAAATAACAGTCCTTTGAACCTGTGTTTATTCAAGATTTATGCTTAATGGTCCAGCGATGGTCCAAGTTATTTCGCTGATAGAGAATATTAGACATTTAAAAATTTGAAAAAAATTCGGAAAAATCAAAATGTAAGTGTTTATTGTAAACCAATTCTTTTCTATTTAATGCATAATTATTTCTGTCTTACTTTAAAAAAAATATCATTGCCGTATTTATATTTATAGTCATCTAACATTACATACAGAATTATAAGTAGTTATTCCTACGTTCAATGACTCTATTTTTTAGAGTACTATTTTAGAATTTACTTTTCCATTGTTTAGAATATATTTAGCTCTGAACTTGTTATGTCGAAAAATCGCTATGTCGAAATTTTTTAAACAAATATACAATTCCAGTTGTCGTCAGGCTAGCCGTGGGAGGTTTTCGGGGTTTTCCTCTTCATGTTATGCAAATGCGGGTGAGATCATCAAAAGGTCCGTGGATTTTTCTCAATAATTGATCCAGCAATTCCCTTGTCTTCTAGATTGGGTTCAAAATTACTGGTCTGCGGAGTTGAACTTTGGTAGGCGTAAACTCAAAATTGGGACGGCTGTTCAACGACGGTTATTAAACTGTTAGTTTACAAATCCAGTAATGGTTTTTTCAACTTATGGAATTTGATGCGAAAATAAACTCAATCAGACATTTCTTAAATAAAATAAGCGTAAAAGTGTTTTATTCTGGGTATGTGAGTAAATACAATAACATCATATTCAGCCTTATAAACTTTATGAAAGATGTCAGATCTCATAATACAAATTACTTTTAATCCCAATTGCCGTCAAAGACATATGGATAAACATTCAGTGCGGCTAGAAAAATAAATGATCACACTTTAAGAGTGATTTAATAATTTAACTGCTGAAGGAGTTGTTTTTTTCTGCTACGATTGTAACAGATAAAATGATTATGAAATGAATTAATGTTTGTTTTAGAAGTGTAAGAAATGGTATAAAATCACAAGCCGAGAAGATATTGTTCACCACAAGATTTGTTTGTCAGTTATTCTGTTCGTCTAACAAAGGTAGGTTTCAAACGAAATATTCTTTTAACAATATTTTGCTTATCTGACATATCTTGAGCGTATTTATTGTTCTAATTTACTGAACTTAACATATTTACTTTAAGCCCTCTTCTTGTTCCTTATTTTTAAATATTAGAGAGTTTCTTTTTGTACAGATTAAAGTTATTAAAACATGTTTTTTTCACATTTTTAATCTTTTACATAAAATAATAATAGATAAATTCTCATCAAAATTTATGTAATTTTTCTCTTCTTTCCGAGTTGATTCTTATTTAATATAAATCTGTTTATTTTCTAAAATCGCCCTCTTTTCTCACAAGTAAAGCTGAAATTGCTTAATTTAAGGGTCTGGAGGCTCACAATCTAAAATTCTTCAGGGCAATGTTTTTAGATAAAATAGTTTTTTTCTTAAATAACAAGGTTTACATGAAGGTAATATGATATTTGTGTGCAATGTGTTGTTCTTTATAGAACCGTAAGCTACCTATCTGGAAATAATGAAGAGAAACTTTTTGATGTAAAATCAAAAATGACTTATCATAATGTTATACATTAATTATTATTTTTAGTCGTTATTTTCAATCATTTTTTTTTTCATTTTCGTAAATTTTTATCCTTTATTTCCTTTTTTCTTTTCATTTCTTGTAATTTTAATCATTTTTCTATTTTTTCTCTATTTGTTTTAATTTCAATCGTTTCAAAATTTTTCCTTTTTTTTTAAAAATTTCAACTTTTTTCCCCTTCTTTCATATTTCCTTTAATTTCAATCATTTTTTCAATTCTTTCCCATTTTCTTTAATTTCAATCGTTTCTACATTTTCTTCCATTTTTTTTATTTCATCTGTTTTTTTTTCGATTCTTTTTCTTCATACTTTCTATAATTTTAATCATTTCTTCAATTCTTCCCCATTTTCTTTAATTCTTTATTTCCCCCCTTTTTCTTTTAACTTCAATCGTTTCCTCATTTTTTCCTTTTTTTGTTTTGTTTATTAAATGTTTTACATATTTACTAATAGTCTGTTTTTTTAACAAATAAATCTGCTAATATCCCATTCTTTAAAACATTTAATCGTTGCTTTTTTATGAATGATTTTGGATCAGAGAATTTTATTTTTTCAATGTACAATCGTATCTTTCAATTAAATAGATATAAAAAGAATCTCATAAATTTCGGATTAGTGTGAATTATTTTTTTACTATACAATATTCCTATGAACTAGATTAAAATGTCAAGACTTTCGGATCCGCGAAATTTTTTGTTGTTGCTATTATGCAATCATATTCTTGTACCAACTGCATGAATAAAAAAACTAGCACATTTTGGATCAATCCAATTTTTTGCAATCTTTTGATCAGCATGACCTAAACAAACTCCCGAATGATTTATTTTTTTGCAGTCTTTCAATGTAATGCTTCTAAAAAAAATCTTACAAATTTCAGATAATTTCAAATGATTTTTTCGATGAATGATTTATGCATTCTGAACTACATCTGAGAGAAATCTCGAGAATTTCGGATTAGTGTGAAAAATTTATTATTCTGCTATATTGTAATCATATCGTTCAATCTATTAGCTCTAAAAATCTCACGAAATTTCGAGTAAGTTTAAATTGTTCATAAATAATGGTTTGCTCATTTAACATGTTCATTTAATTTTAAAAATAGCGATCTTCATACTTCTTTTTGCTTTTATTCCATCAGTTCTATTTAATTTTTGATTTTCTTCCTCTTTTCCCTTTTTTATCATCCATTTCTTATCGATTCACAACAAAAAAAAATGTAAACTAAGATGCCCTAAAAATGTATTTCATTTATAAATTCAAAACATATAGAAATGCTGGACATTAATTAACTTTTAAACTATGTTTTGAAAACAAACACTTGCAACTCGAGATGAAGAAGACCGCTGCAATCAGCTGGTTATCTATCAGCAACTGTCTGTCAACAAACCAGTTAAGTTGGTTGTGTGTTAAAATAACAGCTTTTAGTCTAGGTATATTATAAAGCTGAATTAATTTTTTGACCAGATTCCTGAAAGCGACGTCATGTCTGGGTGACGATTTTGAATGGCTGCTGAATTATGGCATAAACAAATGACAACCAATCAGTTTCAACACGCATGCGTGACGTCACATGCATCCAATTGAATATTTTTTTTAATTTTGAAGTAACATCGTCAGGAAACAAAAAGAAAATAATTGTAACAATTGTTAAAGTTGGCGAGCAGGTGAGAGATCCTCGTAATATAGAGAAAAAAAATCCTATCATTTGCTATCAAATTATTAACTACTTTCTTTTGTTTCATGATAGAGGAAAGAGAAGATGAAGACTTTTATCATTTTACTTGTTCTCAGCGTCTTTGCTGTCGCTTTTGCTGGTCAGCCATCAGCATGCAGAATTCAACAACAAATGGTTAGACAATCGGGTAAGTGATTTAAAAGAAATATATATATATATATATATATATATATACTTTTGAGATAAACAAAATATTTGAAATGGATGCTTGCGTTTTGTAAACATAAACCAGTTTTTCTAAATCAATCTTTTAATGGCTTTATCATTAGGTAACATATGAAGGTATTTATTGCCTAAAAATTATAATTCGAAAAAGTAGTTTTAATTTTTAAGTTGCATAATATAGGCATCATTTTCAGTTATAATGCTTAAATGAAAATTTTCTTATGACTGTTGTCCGAAGGCTTTGTCGTCACATGAAATGACGTTTAATGTCCGAATGATTTTCCATTTTCAGCTTTCCTATTCTCTCGAGTGAATACTTAATGCCCTCACTTATCTGCCACGTAAGGAGTGGTAGGAAGAAGGCGATCAATCATTTCATTTTATGATACGATGCATTCATGTTTTTTTGCCTTAAGTATTATTTTCAAAGGAGCAGACGAGTGTATTATGCATGCATGTAAACTTATACGTTCTATATACTCTTGCACATTCAAACAGAAATAAACTATAAATATCATTTTTTTGATATTTATAGTTTAGCTTATCATTTTCATTATCTTAGAATATCATTTTCGGATCCTCCGTTAGGCTATAGATTTTTTTAATCTATAGCCTAACGGAGAATCAGAAAATCATTCGGGTATCGGAATCTCCACACCCGAATCAGGTAAGATCAAGTATAAAGAGAAAAAAAGTAGAAGTACTAAAAGGGGAAAAAAAGAATCTGGCAGTGAAATCATTCGTAGATATCTTAAAAAGTAAAGTAAACATTAACTATTTTTGATCAAGAACTATTCATCACTATTTAATTTACCCCAGAAAAGAAATAGTTCTGCATGTATGTTATAATAGCAATAAATTTTGGTATTCAAAGGTTTTTCACTCTTTTGTAAAAACAATCCTTTTCTTTTTCTCTTTCATTGTGCAAACATCTTTGTTTAAAATTAATGTATTCAAATTTACTCAAATAAAACTTATCCAGAATTCAACTCTTCATTTATGTAAAGATTGAATCTTTCTGAATACGAGAAAATATTAGGGACTGGAAAGTAACGTCATTTTGGTGCATTTGATATTTGTTATCAGGATTTTAAAAATAAAAGTAACGGGTATTGTATATAAAAGTAACGGGCCCTCAATAACTTTTTATCTGACAATTGGATCTTCACGTTCTAGGACTCAATTTTAATAGTTTAAGGAGGTGACATCAAATATACGGATATAGACGGAGCTTTGGTGGCTCAGTTGGTTTTCGTTGTTTTCCTCTCCATGTAACGAAAATGCCGGTTAGTTCCCTCAAAAAATTCTCCACGAAGGTATATTTCGCCCAATGCTTGATCCTGGAGTTCCCTTGTCTTCTGGATTGGGTTCAAAATGACAAGGTTAAGGAGTTGACCATGGGTAATCGTAAAAACAGAATTGAGTCGACTGTTCAACGACGGTTATAAAATAAAATTAGTGTAGACGATGTTTTAAGTTACAAAATCAAACACGAAACATACTTTCCATAAATAAACATAAATAAAAGTTTTATAAATAAAGGTTTTCAATTAATATGTGAAATACGTGGAAGAAAAATTAACATTAAGGGGTTCAAACTTTCATCTACTCTCCTAAATTATAAGAACCATATTTTCCAGATTGCGGCTTCCCTTAATTCGAATTTGTCGAAAAAAGGTATGTTTATTCTGAGAAAGTAAATTTTTGTGTCTCATTTCGTAACTTAACGCATAATTTGTTTCAGTTGTTGTTGTTGTAGTTGGTAATTAAGGCAAAGGGGGTGCGATTGTTCCTGTTTCCACTGGCACTATCTATGGCCAAGAATTTGACTTTTGCCACACCCGTTTGTAAGGGGAACCTATTCATACATCCACCCGAACCTGAGAGCGATCCATTTCCAATTCAGAACCCTCAGAGGTATCGCTTTGTTACAGAAACTTGGAGGACTTAGTAACCTGACAGATTTAGCGTGCATTTAATAGATAGGGAGTCTTCGACCGGCTGGATTTAAAATTCCGTCCAAACGAACGTGAGTCCAGCGCCCTGATAACCAGGCTATCTCGGCCATTAAGTTCCTGTTAATTAACATATTTAAAGTTAGGCCCTAAGACTATTTAGATTGAGTTTTAATACTTGAATATCCAATCATTAAATCAAAAATTATTCATGGTGTTAATATTTTTCTTTTTTTGCTAACTGTACTTGAATAATTTTTACTTTCAAAAATCTGTAGCTTTAACAACAAAACATCGATATTTACTACCGGATAGGATCAATGCTTTTCTAACTTCACATTCTTATTGACAGGTGACAAAAGCGCTTTCATGCCAAGATGCGCGCCAAATGGTGATTATGCTAAAGAGCAGTGCAGACCAAACAAGGATGGAATTCTGTTCTGCTGGTGTGCCAACACAGAGGGAATTAGGCAAACAAAATCTAAACAAGGACACCAAAACTGCTAATAGTACGCAGCATGAAAATCATTGTGAAATAAACTTTGAATTTTAAAACAAATATTTGTCTTTCTTATACAATTGTAACTTATGTGGTCCTTTCAGGTGGTACAGTCCTGCAGTGGACTGATCGTGAGGACACTGTTTCCAGTGGAACACCGAAGTCTAACATCACTGGCAGCGGTCAGTAAGCGGGTGGGTTACCACTCTGATCAGCCTGCGCAGGGACCCAGGGTATGCGGTATCAGTTCTCGCTAAACTGTACTACCGTAAAGTGCTCGACTTCGCGCGTAGGTCATCGGGCTACCAAGCAGGGGAGTCATCTCTTCTCCAGAGGATCAAAATTGCGATGGTATATTTTCTGATCATCCTCAGAGTTGCTTCTCAGAACGTCGCCAATAGCTCATTGGCAGCTCTAGAGCAACATAAATGAAATACCTACCTTTAAAACATTGCATACGACAGACTAGGTTCCCGAAATTTCTGCGATTATACAAAAGTTTGAAAAGATGTAATAAACTATTTTGTTTCTAATCTGTTTTTCAACAACTCATTTGTTATTAGTAAAAACATAAATAATTTTGTAGGTATTCTGTACAATAAATTGAGATGGCTTCACAGATCCCTTGAACACTCTGTACCCAAGTCAAAATTTTTAATGCCTTTCTTTTGATGGACCAATATAATCCTGATGGTAACCATCAATAACTCCATCATGAACCATTATGGTTTTTGATGGTAAACAACGTAAGTAACCATCACCCTAATGTATGAATTCGGACTGATTTATGATGGTTCAACCTAAGAATAGCAACTTGTTTTGATGGTTTGTTCATGTGGAAACATCAGAAATTTCCATCATAGTCTCCAAGAAATCAAATGTTGGAACAATCACGAACCATCATCACTCCAATATAGGAATTCTGACGGATTTATGATGGCTAATATTAAAAAAAACCAACTTGTTTTGATGCTATATTCCTGAGAATCAATAAAAATTCCTTTTAAACAATCATGGAAATGTATAGATGAAACTATTATGGATTGTTGGTCCATGCGAATCAAACTTCTCTTGATGGTTAACCATCATAATATTAAAGTGACATTTTCCATCATGGAATGATGGAAGTTTGAGGGCATATCAAAAACTATGGACGGCTAATGATGAACGTATAATGGAAAAGGTTGGATGATAGTAACCATCAAATAATGTTGAACCATCATGAGTCGCACTGAAACCATCCATTTTTTTTCTTCATGCGATCATCAAGAATTTTGACTTGGATAGTATGAAGGTAGTGGGCTCGAATCCCACAGTGACACCTGGATGTATGTTTGTGATGTCCTTCTCTATTTTGTGTACTATCCGTTCTGCAACCTTAAATAAGCGTATGATTTGTCCATGAATTAGAGCACAAAAGTTCGTAAATTGAGGAATTGCGGTCAAACTATGGTCGGACATTTCCACTGTTCCGCCACCCTCTCTCTACAGCAGGGATGGCCAAACTACGGCCCGCGGGCCAACTGTGGCCCTCTGGAAGATTTTATCCGGCCCGCGGATAGAATTTTTATTTGCTGATCAGTGGCAAATATAAACAATATACATACATCCATTTTCTTGTCGACTATGTTTAAAATTATTTCTGTTTTTCCTTTTTCAACAAAGTACTGATTAAGTTTTTGCTTTCTCTATTTTTGTTCTACAAAACATAAATTGATGGAAATAGTTACCTCAGACAGCTACAATTGGTAAAATGTTGAAAGCAGAAGTTCTTTATAGAATAGCCATAGATTGGCTCCAACTAGCGCTTGTCTCTCTCGAGGAGCTGACTTATGGAATCTAATATAGGTAAATTGCACTTCACATTTGGCAGACTGTGCATTTTACCCTCCTAAGAGCGGACAATCTAACAATCATTTGAAGCAGTCGTTTCTAAATATTCCAAAGTTTTACAAATCATTACCAAAAGCTAGTTTCCGAAATTTAATATTTCATGCTCAGAAAATCAGTGCATGTTTGCTTAATCTTATATATGTGAGCAAGAGTTTTCAACTATGAACCTTAGAAAAAATCATTTCAGAAGTAGACTAACAGCAAAGTATTTAGCCTTGTTCCTTAAAATAAGCACATCTCACTTCCAACCTTAATGTAAGGAACTTTTAAAAATGAAATCGCAATTTCCTTCATCTCACTAAATATTTAAATTAAAACTTGTATATCACCTTTTTTTCTTAAATTTTGAAGTTTTTACTTGGCCCACCAAACATTTTTTTTTCTTGATTTTTGGCCCCTCGACCAAAAAAGTTTGCCCATCCCTGCTCTACAGGAATAAAGTAGCAGGTTTGAATCCCACCGTCATCCTGAAAGTATCTTACTGACTTGTTCAAATTTTTTTCAATAGTGGATGTAGTTCTTTTTGTGGAGTTTAAGTATAATTGTTGACAGGGTGAGATACATTCTAATTTAGATATGATGGAGGAATATTTATCCCCGAAGAATAAATAAAATCGTCTTGGAAAAATTGATTTATTCTGTAAATCTTATTATAATGAACATGGCGACATGTCAAAATTATAAAATAAATAAATAAAGTCCCTTATAAGGATCAAGAGAATCATTCTTGTTGCCTTATCCAGAATTTCAGTAAAGAAATAAATTCAGCGGTTCAGACAAACAGACCGAAGCTCCCCAGTTCATTAGTAAAGAATTCGAAATTCGAAGTCAGTGAATTGTTCCCAACGGACAGTTAGGGGCATGAGAAGAGATCCATAGTTGGCGATTTATCGAAAGATAGCATAACCAAAAATAAAGACAATCCCCTTAATCAATATTATATTTGAAAATGATATGGCGGAAGTCGATCGCCAAAAAGACTGTGGGAATTAGTGTAACTGAAGCATTTTTGGGGGTAAGAGAAATAAAGAGTTTCAAATAGATTTCTTTTTTCGATTCGACAGTGAATAAATGAGTTTTTCATTTGTATTGAAATAAAAAAAAAATAGACGGTGCAGTGATTGTTATGAAAAGAATGAAATATTTCATATTAGCTTTTTATAAAATGTAATAAAAATTAAGTAATTGGTTCAATTTAATTAAAATTCGATTAAGAATGATTAAAAAAATAAGTTTAACAAATTTTGAAAGCTAGGAAATTTATAAAGATTATGGTGGCATCCCAGCGATGACCTTCCTTAACTCTTTGTTCTTCAACCTTACAAGACCGCATTGTAATGTGTTAAAATAATGTTAAGCATATCTGAGAGAAGTATTTCTTACACCTATCTGATTAAAAAAGCTTAACTCATTTTTCTATACAGTGAAAAAAACATGCTGCCAGCATGACAGTCGTAAGGTTAAATAAATTTAAAATATCGAAAGGAAATTTTATTTTAATTAAAATTCAAAATAAGATTTCATTTCGTTTTTATCTCGCAGTGAAGTTTGATAAATAGTGCATTTTTAAATTTACAAGTTATTTTTAGTTATATGTTATTAGGGCAAGTCTTATATCTTTCATCATCACATGCTTTGTAAGACGAAAAAAAAATTCTGGAATTAAATGCAATTAAAAGAATCTTTTGTTTTCAAAGTAGCAGGATGTCGATTCGAAGGTTCCCTCTCTGAACTAGTGAACTACGCTCTGCGTAACGGGTACAACGTGTGGAATAATTAAAATATTTAACATATTTTTTTTCAGGAGTTTAATTATTATTTTATATATAGCAGTCTGTCTAATAGCTAGAAATAACTATAAATATTAAGGTTAAAAATTAGAAGTCTTTTATTTAATCATTTTTAAAAGCAGACAGAGCATCAGAATATAATTGAGAACAACGTGCATTGTTTTATACGTCAGGGATAAAAAGAGAGTAAATCTTTCGAGCTGTCCTCATCGCTTGTGTTACAAGGGATAATATAACAATTGCAATAGGGTATTTTGTGAGAAATTTCTCATGGGATTTCATATTTACTTTCTGGAAAAACATATTAGGATAATGATTGCATTCCGTAATCTAAATTTAGAACTTCAGTGCCGGATTTCAATTACTAATTATATGAAAGGGTTTCGTTTTGAGTAAAGAACTAAGAAAAAGAATTTAGACAAAGAAATAATATAAAAGGATTCGTAAAAGCTTTTTGTAGTATTATTTCCCGTTTCCAAAAATTTAAAAATACTTTCTAATAATTTAAAGAGAAATGTAATTTATTCGTATCACTTTCCCTTTGTGAGAAACATAAGCATCATGAAAATACTAAAAATTTGTAATATTAATAAAAGCAATAAGAGTAATATGAAATGTAAAAAGCACACATTTGTAAAAACGATAAAAAATTGAACACAGCTGAAATGTTATATTAAAAAATTGTTATACTATCGCTACTGAGTAATTGAAGTAGACTTCATTTCTGAATATCTTTAATGACATAATCAGTTTTTTTAGTTCAAAGTCAGTTTTTCTGAGTTTTGAAAGTTTTTCATTATAAGTACATTTCACAACCCTAGGGATCAATGTGGGATTTATAAGAACAAGCAAGTCAGTGAATTGTTTCCAACGGACAGTTAGGAGCATGGGAAAAAATACATAGTTGGTGATTTATCAGAATGTAAAATTGCCTAATGTAACACCCACCCGTGCAATTAACATTACATTTGAAATAATTCGGCTATAGCTTAATTACCAATTAGACCATGAGCTCTTAATATAAGCCTGTGACGGAAACATTTTTGTCATTAGAGGAATAAGTTAAAAGATTAAAGTTAAAAATGGATTTTGATATTCGATTTAATAGCGACAGTGAAATATTGAGTTATACTTCTGTATTAAATAAAGCAATTAGCCGTTACATTGATAATTAAGAAGAGAATAAAATACTTATATTTATATTTTATAAAATGCGATAAAAATAAAGTAATAACTTTGATTTAATTATAATCAAATTAAGAATGATTGAAAAAAATAAATTTATGAAAATATAGAATTTTGAAAAGCTGGGAAATATGTAATATCTATAACAGCATCATCACCCTACTCTAATATTTTCTTGTAGCTACCTTACTAAGACTTATAACACATCAGATGTTAATACAATACTTTTTTACTAGTAAAAATATATCTTAATAATTACACACAAAATAGATTTTATTGCCTTTTTTTAAAACTTATTTATTGTTCGGTTATGAGTGTTTTTAAGACAAAACATCAAAAACAACTTAATCTTGCGACTGCTTAACGGCTTTACGTGTTGTTGTAACTAAGTCTGACAACTAGTTGCAGCAACATGTAAGGCTAGGTTTAGAATTGAAATTTTAGGCCGCAAGCAACAATAGCAATCATATTAAATTCAGTTATTGATTCTTTAAATGTGTAGTATTCCCATTTTACTTATTTCGTATTTACTTGTATTCTCTTGCTACCAACACATGGCTACATAATTTGATTTCTCTTTTTATTCTTATTTGAAGCTCAAAATGAACATCTNTATATAATAAATAACTAAACCATTAAAATAATGTTTTTTTTCAGTAATCTAGTTGCATAATAAAAACTCTTTTCGGAATTTGTATTTATTCGGTATAAAAAAATTCTTAAAATAGGCTTATTTTCCCCCCGTTTGAGTGACATAGCCTCGAATATATTTTATTAATTCACAAATAAAGGCAATAAGATTATACCTTCTTTTATTTTGAAATGTATATTTCAATGTCCTTTATACATTTCACAAAGAAAAGTACTTTTCGCTCTTCCAAATACTTTATTCGAATATCTTCCTTCAAAAATTCAATTTTCAGTCTTTTTCAGTTTTGTTCAAGTTTTTCGTGAGTTTTAATACAAATAAACTTTCTTTTTTTCTTCTCCTCTCTGCCTCCTCCTTTTATGAAATATTTATATTATTCTCAGCTTGGTAAAGAAGTAAGAAAATAAATTTTTTATGTTTTTCTTCGAATTTTATTCACGAAACGAGGATTAGAAAGACGAGCAAACTTTCCGTAGTTATGAAAAAAAGTTATTCTATCGTCAGTGGGTAATGACTGTTTTTAAGCAACACTTTCTTCGTACCCATTTCATATTCTCGAAAACAAAAGTTCGCATTCAAATAAAAATGTTCTTTTCTTTAATATTGTTTTCAAAATTTTATAATTTCCTTAAAATTTTTTCACGAATTTCATTTTTTATTTTCTAAAGTATTTATACTATCTTTTATAGAAGCATCAGTGGTCATAGTGTCAACACATTAAACACGGGTAAACTAGATACAAAGCTACTCTGTTTAAAAATAATGGATCTCCGTTTAGCTATATAGTTTCCCTGTTTATAAATAAAGATAGCAACAGACGGCCTTAGACTTTGTGGCGAGAGGAGTTCTTTCCATAGACAAACAAAAGCTGAAGTTAGTCTTATTTAGAAATAAAGTTATCCTGTTTTAAAATAAAGTTATATAAAAATAACATACTTATAGAGAAAAATCTTCATTGTCTATAAATGCTTTCTTGTGTATTAGAAATAAAGTAAATCTGTTAAGACATAAATTCTTACCTGTTTGTTTCTTACCGCGATTCAAAATAAAGTTACCTAGTTTGAAAATAAAGTTACTTTATTTGAAAATAAAGTTTCGCTTAGATCAGAAATAAAGTTATTCAGTTTAGAACTATAGCTACCTTGTTTATAGAATCCATGCTAAAGAATAATTTTTCGCAAGAACAATGATAATTTTATGTTATCAGCATACCCTTTATTATTATAAAATCAGTTTGGACACAAATTTCACTCAAATTGAGTCGATTTGATATTACTTTTAAAAGTATTCATTAATTAAAACTACGTAAAATTTCCAAAATTTAGAAACTTCTTCAGAAAAAAAAACTTTCAGACCAGGCTCATTTAAAATTATGATATCTTAAAAGCCTATTATAGATATTACTTGACTCTTTTACAGATTTATAACGCAATTTTGAAGTGGTAATTTTTTTTACAATACCGTATAATAATTTCAACTACTAATTATCGCTTATTTCAACTTTATAAAAAAGTTTCAACATATTATGTGTTTTACTTTTAAGATTAAACTGGAAAACATAAAGGTATATTCGACAATTGTAAAGAAAAACACTTGAATATTTTACCTTTAAGTAAATCTAGTGAAGAACTCTATAACATAAATCAACCTTCTTTTTAATAAATATTATTTAAATGGAAATCTTACTTGTAAAATGCAAAAATGAGGAGTGCTGGAAGCAGGAAGAGTATTGAAATTGCATACGTAATGATGTGAAAATACTGTAACCTTCTCATTCCCTGTAATGAAAAACACATATCAGCAATGATGCTTTGATTTTGAGACTGTCAGGTCATGTTTAGTCTATCTAAAGCCAGCGCTGTCTACGTTTATTTTGAAATTGGCGGAAAACGTCAATGCGGAGAAAAAGCCACTGTTTTGTGAAAATGAAAAGATTTTGTGGTCTAATTTATTAATATTTAAAAACATACTCTTATGCTGCTTTATCTGGGCCCTAAGAATGTGCACCAACTGAACATATATCAGGGATTTTGATAATTTTCCTCTAGGTGGAAAATTATCGCCAAATTGGCGATTTTTAAAAAAGCTTTATAACTTTTAAAATATTTAAGTTATTTGTTTGTTCTAAAGCCCAGATGAATCTTCACGGCAAGATGATATATATTGTTTAAAATCATCGCAGTGATTCAAGTGCAAGGCACTTAAACTAAGACTTTTTCATTTTCCATGGTTACAGAGCTTTAAATAGCAGCATTTACACACTCTCTCCAAGTCACATCACTTTTTCTAATCCTATTACAGTTATATTTAAAGTTATTGTTATAATACAATTCGAAAGCTTAGCTCCTAATCCTTTCTTTATTTTATTACGTTTGTGTTGTAAATATTAGCAAAATGAAGGTGACAGCTATTTAAAATAGTATTTAATATGAACTTAGAAATAAAAAGGAAAAAGAACGATTAGAAAAAAGTAAACTCAAATATACAAGAAATAGAAGTTGCCAGATTACGAAAGTGCAACTCCACAAGATAAGCAAATATAGCGTGGGGCTCGCTGATAGCATGCTCGATTTATAACAGTTTGTACAATGTTTTCAAGATCCCAGTAACACAAGTTTCCTATCAAACTTTAATATTTAAAATGTTTTTAGGTAACTTCTCAGGATTTTTTAGAAGTGTTACCCAAGTCAAAATTCTTGAGGGTCCAATCAAAAAATTTTGATGGTTTATGTTGGTTTCAGTGAGATTCATGATGGTCCAACAGCATTTGATGGTCACCATCATCCATCATTACATTCATTGCTTCTGTTCATTGTTTTTGATATGCCAACAAACTGTATGATGGAAAATGCTACTTTAATACTATGATGGTTAACCATCAAGAGACGTTTGACTCTCATGGACCAACAATCCATGATGGTTCCAACTGTACATTTTCATGATGGTTTAAAGGGGATTCTTGTTGATTTTCAAGAATATACCATCAAAACAATTTGGGTTTTTTAATGTTGAACCGTCATAAATCAGTCCGAATTCTTACATCGTTATGATGGTTGTTAATGAACTTTCCGACATTTTATTTCTGAGATACTATGATGGAAATTCTTGATGGTTCCACATGAACAAACCATCAAAACGAGTGTCTACTGGATATGTGATAAATGTATACTGCACAATGGCACTTAACCTTAATAAAACATATCTGTAAAGTATACCATGCAAAAGTATACCGAACAGTGGCACTTAACCTTTGAAAAATATCTGTGTAAGGTATACCGGGCAAATGTATTCTTAAGAGTGGCACTTAATCTTTAAAAAAAAACATCAGTTGATCGTATCTCAATTCAGAGATAACTCTTTTTAATCCCTCATAAGAGGAAGAGTGTGAGTATACAGCAATCATGACTACAAAAATTATCAAAACTAAAAGTAAAAAGTCACGTGAAACAGAACCAACTTTGTCGAAATTTGCTAAAGCATAATAGCAACATAAATTTAATTAAATCAACCAAATCATACTAAATACAAAAATCTCATGATGGTGCCGCAGTTGTTGTCAATACATTTTGATTGGCTTTAAAATCACATGACAGTTCTGTTACATTCATTTTCATATTGATTTGGCTGTGATCAGCATGAAATTGATATAAGTCATACAGTTATTGTTGTTCTATAAATGTTTTTGTTTCTCTAATTTAAAGGTTAAAATTACCCGTATTGTTATTACAGTCGAACTCGTTTATAACGAGCACAAAGGGACAGTAACATGTACTCGTTAAATCCGAGTGCTCGTAATAAGCTAGTCCTTAAGACAGGCGTGCAACTAGAAGATGGGGGGGGGGGCTTGGGAGGTCAAATGATTGAGTTTACTTAAAATTTATTTAATTACTTACTTTAATTACATTAATTAATTTAATTAAATACTTTTCCTAATTTAATGACTACTAACCCCCTTCATTCGCATTTCTTTATCATTTTGAAAAAAAGATAAGACAGAAAGACTAGAAAGATGAGAAAAAAGATTGCAAGACAGAAAAATATTGCTCGCTGAAACCGGGTCTTGCTCGTTAAAAGCGACTTCTGTTCCTTAGACAAAACATTGATCCAACCAAAAATTCTCGTTTCCCTCGGTAAATCCGAGTTCTCGTTAAATCCGAGCTCGTTATAAACGAGTTCGACTGTATTACGTTTTTGATTTTGTCTGATGCATAATTTAAGTGTTTAGGAGGATTGTTTTATTATTATTATAAGAATAATGTACTTCTACGTTAAATATTGAGATAAAGTTATTTAAATCGGTGTCTGACCTTATTAATCATTTTACAATTATTATTTTGTGGTGCAGATTACATTAATATGCGATTATGAATTGCGGATAAAGAGATTCGGATTAAATGATTTAGAACTTAACTTTGAGCTTCATGCACAAAGTGATGAAAGCAAAAATTGTATTTAATATACATCCGTCCGTTTGGAAATCAAAAATATTAAATGACAATTATGTGAACTCACCAAATTTGTTATAACAATATACTTTTAATTTTAAATGTTACTTCAAAAAATTTGATCTTAGAAAAATGATTTATGTTCACTTATCTTAATAAGGGAAATATTTGGAAGTGGATGTTCTTTTTTAGTACATATAATTTTCGTTGAATAATTTCAACTGTTTCATTCCAAGAAACAGAAATTATTGCGAAACAATCATTGAGGTTGGTGAACGTCAGCCTACTAATCAGCATAAAATTTAAACTCATTTACCTCAATTCTTCCACAGCTGCTGTAGTTTGTCCATTCCTTATTCCGATCATTGACATACCAAGAACCGTTGTCCAGGCAGTGCTTAAAAGCATGCTCTGAAAAGAGAAAGCAAATTGTCAACCTCTGCCGTCATTTTTAGTACTAATCAGGCTGATTACAGTCCGTGGCCAAATTATTAGAAGCACTGTAGTTTTTTTTAATAATTACGTGTTTTGCACGAGTTTATATGTTCTATATTTAGACATACATGCAATGGGTTTTTATTCAGAAGATTTTTTTCCTATTTGTATTTATTTTTAACGTATGGCATTACAATGTTAACAAATCTATACACTAACTGTTGAAAGATTCGAAATAAATACTATGGAATTTTATAAAATAAAAACGCTTTATATTACGATATTTACAATAATTTTGGAAGCCTAATTACAAATTCGAATAACAACATATCTAAATCAAAATACATAACTGTTATAGAGTTGAGTTGTAGGCTGCTGATACTTCAACACTAACGTAAACAAGTACAAACCGTTTTCAATGGCGTTCTCGCGTTTCGTCAGTTACGGACATGTTTCTGAGGCTTAATAGAGTTTTGTTTATTTGTTTCCAGGTTTTATACTACGCAGATAACTGCGTAGTATAAAACTGCGTTTAATTTGTGTACAGTGTATAAATAATCAACTGGATCATCATGGGTAAAAAAGGCGATCTTTCACCATGTAAAAAAACTGATGTAAATTCCCTCGTGAATGCTAAAATATTTTCAAACTGCGAAATATCAAGTAGATTGAAAGCTAGTGTATGAAGAAGAAAATTGAGTCAGGGGACGAATTGAGTCCCTAAACGAAACAAAATAATCTAATAATTTGGCTAGGGATTGTAGAAAAAACCATCTTCGAATCATCCTGGCAGACTCCTTTCGGTCAACCAATGTATTTCCAGGTAAATAGGGAATTGCTGACTTAGCCACTCCAAATCACTTGCAATGAGCTTGAAGTTGTGAGGGGTTTATGACAATGAGCCTCACGTTGTTTAGGCTAATTAGAATTGAATGTGAATTATAACAGCGCTCTGAATTATTTATTCTTGCGAAATGAAGAGCCATAAAATGTAAGTTTAGAAAACAATTCTGTCAACAACAAAAAAAGTTTCATCGCAACTAGCATTTTATCTCTTTTACTATGTCAAATGATATTATGGTAAGGCTGTTGTTAGTTTTCTTCACGTTGTTATAAACTTGTTATAAATTTCTATCAGAATCACTGTACTGCCGTTTGAGGACAAGGCTTATTATAGTGAGGTGCATTAAGGGAAATTCAAAGCTATTCGCAATTTTTCATATTAGCTTAAAAGCAGATGAGTTGTTTATAATAAGCCAAAAATTATCAGATAAAAAAGTCAGGAGAATTTTCCCATTTGTACCCCTGAAAAAAAATAGGTACTGAAATCATTTCTTTTTTAGCATCTTTCCACTATGAATAAATATTTTTTAAAAACCAAGACTCGTTAAAAGTTATTTTCCACCGCAGGAAAAGGTTTTGTACAGACGTTACAATTTTTTTGAAACTTTTTTTTATATATTTCCCGAAAACAAGTTAAATACGAAACGGTTTTATTACTTGTCTTTTCTCTTTTCCGGGGCATAAACAGCCATGCACTTGCAAAGAAACAGATTTTTTAAATTAACCAGCGTTTTATAGATCTTCAAAATCACGTGGAAGGAAATTCTGTGGGTCTCTTTATTCACTTTAGTTTGGTATCAATCACAAAAAAGTATTAGTAATTCATATTAATTTTAATTATATTTTTCTAATTTTGCCATTCAGACGTCTAAAAATAAATACCCATATTTATGTTATACAACATATGATAATATACTAATATAGTTATCATAAAATTCCATGAAAATTTATATCTCTGTCAGAGGTAGAAAGAGGGATCAGTCTTATAAATCTTGAATGGTGTGTCGGATTTTCATTCAGTTTCTACGGCAATATTTTAAAGAAGTGTCCTAAAATATGCATGACAGTTAACTACAACCGTGAGGGAATATTCTTATTTTGACGTAAAAACGGAATTTTTATGAAAAATATACCTTTTTTCATCAAATTCCAATTTATTTTCACCAAATTCCATTTCCATTTTGAATATTTTCAAATCTTCATTTCTTTCATTGAACGAGATATTTAAGGGTCAGACTTTGAATGAATATTGGCGAAAATTAATTAATTTGGTTGATGTTTTTAACACTCTAATAAGGTTAAAGTTTAAAATGCAATAATTATTACGATAGCTAATAAATAAATAAATAAATGATTCTTTTGCTCGAAATGGATTTATTCCACTCTCAATAATAACACCATATAAGAAATAAAAACAGGAAAAATGTTAAGTGCATATTTTTATTCACAATTGACATCATTGAAAGGATTTTTGAATGGAAAAATTTTTCAATTGTAAACAAGTAAATATAGAAGTAAGATGTTGTAGCACTGTACGATTATTTCTGTCTCCAGAATGAAACCACGTGACTGGAGGGTGAAATGAGAGGAAAATTTCTACCATCTGCTTCTCCTTGTTATTTCAATAGGAAAAAAAAATCAATGAGAGAATTTTGAAGTTCAAAAACTTAAAATATGGTTGTTTACTGTGTTGCATTTGGTTGTACAGAAAAATGTGTTAATTTTGGACCTTATACATTTCATTGGTAATTCAATTTATCGCTTTTGGATTTACGATTGTTTCATTTACAATATAAATTAACTTTTAGTTTGCTTTTTTTTCCTGAAAATATCAGATAAATCCGGATCATTCCATTTCATTTCATTCTAAAACCAGAATTTATGTTTTTCAAACTATCTTCCAAGTAAATATAAACGAATAAAAACGCAATTAAAATAAAAAATAATGCTTATATATAGAATTATTCATTATTAATACATATTTTTAAGAATTTCAGTTCCGGAGTAAGATAAGCGAATTTTTGGCGAAATTTTAAGTTTTTTTCCCTCTTTATTTAGGCTGTCTTTTTTTACTTTCTCTTAAACCACTTCAGAATATTTTAATAAAAAATAGATCAATAATACTATTAGAAGTATTAAATCTGTTTAATCTTATCATAGCAGGTGTAAATTTAAAATAAAAAACTGAAAGATTAAAAAAGGTAAAATTATTTTTTTTTCTTGTGCGGCAGATTTTTTTTTCAATTTTCATTTCATTTTTCGCTTTTTTTGACATATCTTTAATTCTTCTTTGAAAAATCTCGAATACCTGGAAAGATATTCATGATTTTACAAGATGTTATACTATTATCTTCTGTATGGTATTAAAATTTAAATGCGCGTTTTCTATAACTAAAAAACTAAGCTGAATTTTAAAATATGATGCATACCCTATAAATATGCACCACACGAATAAAAATAAAAAAACTTTAAGAAATAAAAAAAAATTGAATTAATTATACTTTCTTTTTTTTTAAATATATAAAACATTATTCAATGAACTTTTAATCAAAATAAGTTTTAACAAAGGTAATGTATTATTAATTAATTGGAAATTAGTTTCTTCGAGAGTTTAAAATATTGAAGTTTAATCGGATAAAATTTCGATTTTTAATTTCAATTATAAGTATGGAAATTTGTTTTGCTAGTGTAAATTACGTGAAATTTTTTAAAATGTTAAACCATTTTTAAAACTTAATTACCTATAAGGGGTTATCACAGGATATGATTTTAACGTTTTTAACACGTTGAAAGAGAACAAAATCAGTTCCGGTGACCGGCACTGATTTTGTTCGTAGCTCCACGGGGGTCACCGGTGACCGGCACTGAGTTTATTCGTAGCGCCAAGGAGTCACCGTTGACCGGTGACGCCAAGATTATTAGAAACACATAATTCAAGTAAATTTTGATTACACGAATGATTACAAAAATTAACTGTTTTGTTGCGAATCAAAATATGCAACGCATACTGAGAAAATCATTTTGACCAGACGGGCAAGCCATGTAAAATTAGCGTGGCATTCAACGTGTTAAAAACATTCAAAAATTAAATTTTTTTAAATTTTGTAAAAATACATACAATTTGATTGGCTTATACATATTAAAAAACTGGAAATTTAAAATAACTTTTCATCTAGCAAAATTGTGTCAAAAAATGAAACTTTATTTATATTTATTATTATTATATTATATTTTAATTAATATATCTATGATATTTTATTTTATTCATAACTATTTTCTCCTGTTCACAAATCCTAATGCTTTTAACTTTCTTTCATTTCTTTTATAAGTACAAAACGCGTAACTACCAAACAAAAGTACTCAGTTCAACAGTCAAGCGGCGTCCTTCTTTCTCCACCAATGGGGAAGATAACAGCTCCATTTTCTGCAAAAATTTTAATAAATTGGCAGCAAATTAGGGAGTAATGCCAGTAGAATAGGGATGCCTACTTTTTTTATGGAATCCCCACAGTTTAACTGCATTGCTTTTTTGAAATTACATACATTTGCTGACTCAGTCTAGGCTTATAAAGAAGTCTTTGTCAAGTAGAATTAGAACAATTTAGAGAATTCAAGGAATACATTACGACGGGTTTCGAACCGTCCATGCCTTATCTGACAGGCTATACCGCTCGGCCAAGTATCGCATTTAATTTGATACTTTTAATTTTTAATATTTAGTGGTGAAAAAAGTACCTAAACTGAAAAGAACTTCGTTACCACTCGAAAATATTTTCTTATAAGATAGAGCAAGTTGGCATCTCTCTGTGGTATCTATGCACTTAATCATCCTCGGTTAGTCTAAAAGCTGGCAGATAGGCATACCTGCCAAAACTTTTTCTGATGATAGACTGATAACAAAATGAAGTATCACAGATGAAGGCAAAAATTAGTTCGTTCTACAGGAGTTGGTTCTTGGCCCCGCCTTCATTCTGTGGTATCCGACGATACTATTTCGTTATTTTTGGGAGAAGGATGTGAAAAATCATGAACAAGGTTACTATTTGGCGATCGTATGACAAAAATATATTTATTTCGCAATCTTTGTGTGCATTTTTTTAACGTTAAATATTTCGTAAATTTGATGATATTTC